AGTTTTCTATTCAGAAATCATTCTAATATACTGATTCGCTGCTCAAGAAACATTTTTTTTTCAGGATTCTTTGATGAATAGAAAGTTCAGAAGAACAGCATTCATTTGAAATATAAATATTTTGTAACATTATTAGGGCCCTATGATTTCCAAGATGTGGAATCGTGGAATCCAGTCATAAAAAGGAATTTACTTACTTCATTTGCACGGAATGTCACAGAATTTGCCAAATTTTGGATGGATACATCAAAAGTAGGTCAGTACACTTAAAACAAAACGCAATATAGACTGGTGTCTTTGAATATTAAGCCACAAAAATACCATTTAAATATGAATCCTGCATGTTCTGCGTGTCTCCGTGTGAATGAATGGCACAGACGCACGGTTTCGTTTACTACACATACTGAAGCGCGCATGAGGCTCGCGGTGATTTCAGCGTCTGTCACCTCTATATGAGTACATGAACCAGTGTTTCCCCTGCCATTATATTAGGGGAAATTTTACTTAGTATTTGTAAATATTAAGTCGCAAAATGATTCATATTTAAATGAATTCTGCGTGTCTCTGTGTCAATGAATGGCGCAGACGTGTGTTTTTTTTTACCACTCGTACAATATTACTATTGTTCAGTAGAATGTACATAACCGGCTGCTACTACTACTACTAAAATTATTAAAACCTTATTTTTAAGGAATAATCATGCAATATTTCTTCAATGTTTTAATTGTAATATTAAATGACCTTTATTTTCCAAAAAATAAAATTTGTTTAATTTTCATTACTTAAAAGATAGATTAAATAAATGTTTTATGCCTTAAAAAAATTTAAATACACAACAGAATTTCTGAGCAAAAAATCATAAGGCTATTGTAAGAATAAATGAAACTTGTTTTTATGCTTTCAAATAATTAGACATGCTAAAACAGAATTTGGTAACAATAAAACATAAGGTTGGAAAAAATAAAACATTTCATAGGGCCCTAAACATGTAATATTTGTTAAACTTTTATTAAATTTATGTTAAATTGTTTAAGTTTCATGATTTTAATTAATTAGACATGCTTTTTGACTAATAAAATTTAATTTAACCATTAAAAAGGAGTCCAGAAAAAAAAAACCCAGAACCCCCCCCCCAAAGCCGTAAACACTGCATGAACACATAAACATAATCTCCATAACTGCTCAGAGAGTCACTTCATGAGCATTTCACCATTTCTTTTGAGTAAAACTGTCATCATATCATATACAAACAGAAACCTAAAGGTCTTTACAGCAACCCGTCAAAATAAAAGTGCGGTTTAACTTGAAGAAACTGTGACGGAAATATTACTTAATGTAATGATAGTACTACTACTACTACTACTACTACTACTACTACAATTATTATTAAAACTTTATTTTTTAAAGACATTTACCAGAATTTATTTAGCAGAAAAATAAAACATTTCATAGGGCCTTAAAAATGTACTTTTTGTTAAAGCTTTAATAAATTGAAGTTTAATATGGTAGGTTTTATGATTTCAATTAATTAGACATGCTTTTTGATAAATAAAATTAAATTTTTAGAAACGTTTAAACTGAAAAAAAATGAATTTAGAAAATTTAAAATGGAAAAAACGGAATTTGGGAAAAAATAAAACTGATTTCATAGGTCCCTACATTATAAATGTCTTTACTGCCACTTTTGATTAATTTAATTGTAAGGTCATGCCTCCATGCCAGACGATTAAGATCCAGCCCCGGACGCCAGATCTCATTAGAAAATATCAGTTTTGACTGGTACCAGAACAACTCAAAGTAAAAGTAGTCTAATCCCCAAAACCTGTGAACAGGAAGTCTTGTCTGGTACCCAGAATACTCAGAACTGTATTAACAGTCTTCTATCAGCCAAGAAGTTGACTAAGGAAAAAGCCAGTGAAGAGCAGAAGCAGGAGATGAAGTGATGATAAAAAGGATCAGAGTTTGTTGAATAGTCTTAGTTGCGTATGTTTCAATGCTCCGACTTCGTAAGACTAAACAACAATAGAAAAATATTATAAAAAACAACAATATAATATAATATAAATGACTAATCAATAAATAAATCAATAAAATGGGTATATAAATGACTAATTATTATTATAAAGGTTTATATGATTAAATGGAATAATAAAATGATTAAATGATAAATGATTATAAATGAATGAAGAATAAATGAATATAAAAGAAAGAAAGTAAAACACAACACAAATACACTGTGTGCACAATTATTAGGCAAGTTGTATTTTTGAGGATTAATTTAGTTATTGTACAACTACAGTGCTCTTGGTCAATCCAAAATGTTAACAAACCCTCAAACCTTAACATTTAAGTAGTAAAAGTGAAGATAATTGTGCACACAGTGTATATGGTTGCTCTCTTGAAGCAAAATGCACACAGTTTCCATTTGAGGATCCTCAGATCCTTCATAATGCATACTTGCTGAATAAAAGTATGAATTTCTTGCAAACGGTAGTGTTTTGTGTCACTTTTCTGAGTGTGACTCGTCGGACAGCAACAGCCTGGTGATTTTGGTGGTTTGGCACACAAATGCACTGCTATTGGGTTTCTGACTGCAGGACACACAGCTTCTTCTGGAAGTGTGTGTCATTATTAAAGCAGTGGGATGACAACATGCATAAAAACAGTGTTGTACAGTTTTGCACACAGAGGTCATGAGATCGGAGTCGGGCTGCTCATTATTCATGAGTGTCTCTGCAGCAGCAGCAGCAGCAGAGTGGCGTCCCACAGACTTTTGTTTGCTGGATTACACACAACAAGAGCTTTTGTGTGCGTGTAACAGCGAGGAGTCGCCTTTCAGTGTCATTCTCAAACAAACTCTCATTCAGAAACATCTAGCTACTGGGGTGCCTCAGGGCTCAGTTCTTGGACCACTTCTCTTCTCTGTCTTCAGAAACATGGCTTTTCATATCACTGCTATGCTGATGACACTCAACTCTACCTCTCATTCCATCCTGATGATCCGACGATAGCTGCTCGCATCTCAGCATGTCTAACACAAACTCACTCTGAAACTTACCCATCCGACACAAGCACACTGTAAAAATAAATAGTTGAGAAAACAAAAAAATAAGGCAACTTGATGCAGTAAGACTTTTGAGTTCTGTCAACAATAGTATTCTAGTTCTTCTCAGTAAAGATACTTTGTTTAGCCAATGTAAAATGTATTTGTTCATGCAATGCTGATTGTCTTATTTTGCTAATAGAAAACTTCTTGTTACAGCAACTGAAACATCAATTACTGTCATTGAGGTAGTTTATTTTTTCTGTTTCCTGGAAGAAATAAAGAATGTATAAAAAGGCACCACGAATGACGAACTTAGTGTAATATGTAGACAACATTGTCTTTGCTTGTAAAACAACTTACAAGACTAAGATATCCAGGAAATGGATGTAAGTAACTGAACATTCTCTAGGCCTCAAAACTAGACACACAAACCTCGGCAATCATAGTTAAAAAGATGAGCTCTTTACATCACGATACAACAAATAACTAACAATAATGACAAAACAACAACAAAAAAAGTTTAAATGAAGTCAGCAAACAGCAAAACAATAATCCTGTAACAGTATCTGCATGATTTATTCATGCTGCAATGCATGCTGGGAACTCACAAAGCCTTAACATTTCAACAATATGCAATTCTTTGTTCAGACAACTGTGTTTGACTAGTTGGCACAACATTTGGTAGTTTCAAGAAAATAACATTTTTTTGTATTTGAGACTCAAAAGGTTTCGTAAACTGGAAAATGTGCAGTTGCATTTTTTACAGTGAAGAGAATGATGGGAAATCAGGTGTCATTAGCATGACGTAACGAGCCAGTTACAGAATATACAGTGAAATATGAATCTACAGTGAAATATAATCTACAGGGAAACATCTGAGTGAAATATGTCTTGGCTTAAAAGAAAGAAATGACACATGGGAACCAGTCCGGCTGCCCTGTCAGCATGAAGGCGGCGCTTCAGGAAGTTTGGACGGACTTGCGCCGGTTGTTGTGTGTGACGACGTGTCAGGTGCGGAGTGTGTGTGTGTGTGCGGGACGCTGATGTCATGTGAAGCTGAAAACACTAACCGGACTGAGACTGTGATTGCTGCTTTGATTTAAACACCATAATAAAAGCCGATGGGTGACCTGATCACATGGTCCAGAGCGGTTACCTGGCAACAGCAGGATTATTGTTAAGGTAAATGGAGATTTTGTGGTGTGTGTGTTTGGTCACGTTTGGTTTGCTGTGTTCGCTGCTGATTCTTGCTGCGTCCTAGATACTGGAGTGAGTCTACAAGATTATTTTGAGGCGGTCTACTTTGCTGGGCACTGAAATAAGGCGCCGTGTGTGTGTGTAACAGGTGGCAGTGAACAGATGTAGTTGTTGAGTGTGTTTAATGATCGACTTTAGCTGTGCTCAGCAGAAAACTACTGTTCCCTCCTGAATCAATGTGCAAAACTTCAAATTTGCAATTCTGTAGTGTGTGTGTCTGTGTGCTGATTTCTATATTAAGTTAAATAATTAATTACAATAATGTATGTCTGTCTGTATGTATATATAATTATTTTATAAATGTAAATAGTTTAGAATAATAATTATGATAAGAATTCTAATTGCATAATTAAATGATTAGGATGTATGGATATATATATATATAAATAAAATATGTATGTTTCTTAAATAATTTATATTCAATAAGTAAAATATGTGTCTTGAATCATTTATATAATAATTTATATAATTAAGTATTATACATATAAACTGTATAACAACAACAACAACAACAACTATTAATCATGAAATGACTGGAAAAGCCATGGGCTTTTGAGTGCTGCTTTCATGTCGTAGTTAGGCTGAAATATCTCTGATATCTAAGAAGCGCTTATAAGTATTTTTTTCACATTGTTTTTTTCTTACGTATGAAATTTGCATCGTAATATTATTCTAGCGTTTAATGAGGGGCGCAGTAAACAGAACGCGCTGACGTCACCAGCTGGAGTGACGCAATCACGCTCGCGTTCTCTGATCATGGCCGCCGCTGCTGCTCGAGCTCGCCCGTGATCCGCGGACCGCTGCGATCGGTATGGAGGAGGACTCCGCCGACCCGTATCTCCCGTATGACGGCGGAGGGGACACGATCCCCCTGCAGGAGCTCCGCGGCGGAGGTACTCACTCACTGCACGCGCGTCGTGTGTGTGCTCAATGTCACCGATGCTTTGGGTGTGTTTGTGTGACAGGTTTTCACGCAATAATTAGCGTATGATGCATTGCAGTCATCGTAAACGTGTTGCATTTGTAACACACACAGAGACAGACAGACACAGGCAGACAGTGAGACAACACACATTCATATGTATATGTATGCTATGTGTTAATTCTGCGTGTTTGATATCAGAATTAATAACATGGGTGTTTTCTTGATTCCTTATGGCATGTATGTATTTTGTGCCTGCATATGTGTGGCTTGCACTTGTTTTGCTTTACTATAGACCCAACATCAGTTAAATCGGGCTTTACTTTTATAGTAAACTAAAAGCATAAAATTTTTTTTTTTTTTGTAATGTAATAAACATTAGCAGCAATAAAATAATATGTGTGTTATGTCATATAAATGACACATTTAGTCATTTAGCAGATGCTAAATGTAATAAAAAAAAAAAAAACTAATTTAAAATATATTATTTAGATATATGTGAACATATAAATACCCATTAACAAAAAAAATACTCATAATAATAACTGAACCATTGTATATGTGATAGGTTAAAGTCAGAGTCATTCAAAGCCGTTTCAAAACCAATGTGAAGCAGTCAGATAGAAGGGGTGGAGGTAGAAAAAAAAAAGGGTCAGAGACGCTGAATGCTGAGGTTGCTCTGCCTGCCACATGCTCCCCATCCGCAGACTGAAACAAAGCATCCTCCTGAACATCAGGATATATACACATTTAGTCATTTAGCAGATGCTAAATGTTATAAAAAAAAAAAAACTAATTTAAAATATGAATCCAGGTTATAATCATCTGCATTAAAGCCGGCTGAGATGGTGCATTCGTCTGTCATTCATAATTCATATTAGTTTCATCAGGAGAGACCTGTTGCTGTTGTGTGAGTGCAGTAATGCATTAATGCAGGATGAAAGCCGCAGGACTTGAGGAATAATCCATCACGTTCTCTGTGAGGCGCGGTTATAATCGTCTGCAGTAATGCCGGCTGAGATGTTGCATTCGTCTGTCATTCATAATTCATATTAGTTTCATCAGGAGAGACCTGTTGCTGTTGTGTGAGTGCAGTAATGCATTAATGCAGGATGAAAGCCGCAGGACTTGAGGAATAATCCATAACGTTCTCTCTGAGGCGCCTCGTAACGTTCCTCATATGTCTGAAATCCGTTATTAGCCTTCACGATGTTTCCTGTAAGCGTGCTTGGATTTTCTGCTCATGCAGCGGGTCTTAATGCACATTAACACCCAGATTTCTGTGTTTTCTGCTTTACCACTGTTGCTCGGACTGAAACTAAGCCCTGTAGAGTTAGCTTTATATTAAATCCAGTGTTTATATCGTTACACCAGAGTCTTCTGATTATGAACCCCCTCTCACGCAGTGATATGTTTTAAATGCTTATTCTTACTAAGCTGTTACACAAATTGAATATATATATATATACCCACATACACACACGCGTATACCCACACACGCACATACACACACGCACATATACACACCTACACACGCACACACACACATATATACGCACACGCACATACGGTTATATATTATACAAATATTTGATAGATATAAATATTTTACTTACAATAATGTGTTATGTAAATGTTAATTGCATTATAATAATATTATTTGTTTATAGCCATTGACTTTCATTGGTCTGAAGGTGTTTGAAACGGTGTTTATATTAAACAGAGGCTTTCACGTCATATGTAGGCCATTTTTCAGTAATTGCTCAGAGCTGCACATTAAACTAGAGCAGGAGAACATTTTTTTGCATTAAAAAGAGCGTCAGCTGTTGAAGCGTATGTTTGATGAGTCCATTAACTTGCAAGTCAGTAATATATTGCAGAGCACTAATCAGTCATTGCAGGATTGATATTTATGCAGTGCAGCTCTCTTAATAAAAGCGTCTGACATCAGAAACGATGATCTGTTGTTCGTAACGTCTGGGGATCAGTTTGCTTGGACTTTCTCATCGTAATATTAGACTGAACTGCTTCTTAATCACCATTGATTGGCTGGAAATGTTGTCTGGTAGTCAAACCCTGCAGAGGCCAATCCATCGCTGTTGTGCTGCGGATCGAAACACTTAACCTCAAACCTTTTTCTAAAGAAAGCGTGTTTTGTCATTTGTTGTGCATCGACTAATTGGTTAAACGAGTCATTTCTTGTCATCTGACTGATTTAAAGGGGTCATATAATGCTACATGCACTTTTACAAGTTGTTTGAACTGAAGTAGAAAAGCTGTAAGACGGTCTCATCTCTTCTGGCTAAGGCTATGAATGCACTGCAAACATGTATTCTTAATGAGCATTTTTGCCTTTTTAATCTAAAAATCCATTAAAATGAATTAAATTTGATCTGAATTGTGTATTTTGTCTCTTTTCACTTGTTTTCAACTTGTTTATACTTAAAACACTAAAAGATCTGCCAGCGCAGCGAGACAAAATGAGCATTTTTGCCTTTTTAATCTAAAAATCCATTAAAATGAATTCAATTTGATCTGAATTGTGTATTTTGTCTCTTTTCACTTGTTTTCAACTTGTTTATACTTAAAACACTAAAAGATCTGCCAGCGCAGCGAGACAAAATACACCCGTATTAAAGATATGTTTTCTAAAAGTAATTCTTACTAATTTACACAGTGCTGCTTTTTGAGTAAACTGATATCGTTTCGAACATTTTTGGATATTTTACCTGGAAAACAAGGCCAAGAGAGACTATTTCCTCATAATATGACTAATAATAATAAATTAAATAGTAATAATAAATAAATAACAAAACAAGCTACTAACATTATCACAAAACACTACAAACATTAATAATATTTATAAAGTGTTAAAATAAAATAAGATTTATTAGCTGTTGGTTGTTAATTTTACTGACGTTATTTATGATTTTTTTTTTTACTATGAATACAAATCAAACTAAATATAATACTGAATAAAATTATAATAAACAAAGTAAATATTCATTAATACTAAATAACAATAAAATAAAATGTTTGTTATTTGTTATTCTTAATGAGTATTTGTCTTTCTTTTTAGTTCCCTTAAAATGAGTTAAATTTGATCTGAAATGTGAGTGTATTTTGTTTATATGTAAAACATGAAGAGATCTGCCAGTGTAGAATTTTCATAGAATAGACTCCGATTAACAGTATTTTGCTTTTTTGTAGATATCATGTCTAGGCTTTGTTTATGCTTAAGGCTGCCAATAAAAATAGCCACTCAACACATTTCCTCATGTTGAACTTCATTTGCAGTGAATTTCTCCCAGTATGCATTGCAGCACATGTGACAGAGTCTCACTGTGGCCCGTCTCATGTTTGCAGTGTTATAGGAATCAGAGACCAACACTGCACAAAAGACATTCCTCTGCTTCCTTTTTATTGCTGTTGCTTTGGGTTGTGAAGGATGAGACTTGCCCTTCCTCTCTCACAAGCACAAGCTCTCTGCAGATCATCACGCAGTGAAATGTGTGGCGGTGGTGAATGAGCCCGAGGGTTTCATGCGCGAGTGAGTCAGCAGGGATGATTTAATTCGCCGTATCCTCATCGAGTCGCTCCGAGGGAGACGTGAGCTTCAGATGAAATGTGATGCAGTCTGTTTTCATCTCCGCTGTTTGCTTGAACGCATTAATATTGCGAAGACCGTTGAGTTGGTTGCATGAGATTTTGATAGCTAATGATTGGAGCCTGACCGATATGGGTTTTTTGGGGGCCGATACCGATATTAGGGAGTAAAAAATGACCGATACCGATATATCGGCCGATATTCTTTGTGTAGGCTATATTATAGTACAATATACTTCCCATTCGTGTGTCCAAACTTTTGACTGGTACTGTATATAGAACACAGTATATAGCCTACATAAACAGAATATATATACATAAACACATTTTTTGCAATGATAACTCAAATGTGGTGATCAAACACTTATAATGATGTGACAAACATAGACCTATGTAGTGGAGGCAGGGTATTTAACAATTTAACAAACTTTATACACCTTTTTCTTGTCGTAAAAATGGGCGCGGTCATTTGTAAATTCTATGGGTCTCTCTCTCGCTACACTACACTGACCTGAGTCGCCAGTAGCGAACAATGGAGCGCGCTCTGCTGGACAAACTAAGTAATTACACCATTCAGAAGCATTTAATCTGCATTATATGTTCTGTAAAAAAAGTTAATATCGGCGGCATATTCGCCGAAACCAATATATCGGTCGGGCTCTACTAATGATCTTCAGTGTCATATTTGACTGGGTCCTTTGCCAATGAGTTCTAACAAATGATATTATTAAAATAATATTAATGACACAAAACCATAAGAATATTAATAAATACTCATGATGTTATTCATACTAATAAAGTATTTAATAATAAATATTAACTATTAATTAAAATATGAATACTAATTCAATAAAATAACTAATTAATAATAAATCGAATAATTAACTATATGAACTATTAATATTCAAACAATGTAAGAATATTAATCAATAATAATCATATTAATTTAAATAATTAAATAATAATAATGAATAATTAAGCTACTGATATGAACACAAAGCCATAAGAGTATTATTTATATTAATAAATTATTAAATAAAAATAATAGTTATTAATTTTACCAATATTTTTTATTCTTTATTTTAAATATAATATATTAATAATAAATAATATGAATGCTAATTAAGTAAATGCAATATAATGAATAACAATAATAAATAAAGTGTATAGTAATATATTAATAGTAATAAATATCAAAATAAACGAACACAAACAAAATATGAATAAGTAATGTGTACTAGTATTATTATTAATTGGGTTTATTAATAAATAATTAATAAATACGCAAATTAAGTGATGTTAACAATGAAATAAGAAATTATTAACACAAAACAAGAATATCAATAAAATATGAATATAATTAACTTTAAAGTATTAAAATATAAAATAAGATTAGCCTTTAGCTGATTATTACATTCAATAATTACTATTAATAATTATTGTTTATATAAAAATAATAATAATAATTATTATTTATGAAATAACATTTCAATTCCGTTTTCTGTTCACTGATGCAGATGTCATGCGTTGTTGCCGTTTTGGGCTTTTAGTTTAGTTTGTAATTATTAGTAACGTACATTTTCATTGCATGCTGGGTTTAGATGTTGGTCGAATATGGCTTGTTTTTCTCCTCGTCACATGACGTGCAAATGCATGCATGTATATTTGTAAGAGTGAGATTTCTTGTGCTGTTTCTGGGTTTACAGTAGGTTATTTATGCGTGTAGCCTGGTTAGGTGTCAGCTGTGTTTTCCTCACAGCGAGGTGCCGAGTTGGTTTGTTTCTAGAAAAGGGAAGTGTGTACAAGCGTGTGTTTCTCTAGAGTGTGAGGTTGTGTCGCTGGCTCGCGTCTGGCTGGATCTGTGTGGAAAAGCTGATTAGCTGCTGATTATCAGCTGACGAAACACGCGTCCAGACGACCCAGATCTCTGCTTTCATTAAGTGCAGCCAACAAACAAGCTGTAGTAATGAGTGTTGGACATGCAGTTCTGCTGCCTCAGAGAGTTCAGTGACTCACTTGAGTCTAGACTTGTGCCGGTATTCGGTAATGCGATATATCACGGTAATGAATATGCACGATATTGTTATCGTGGGCACTTCTAAATACCATGAATAATTATATATTACAAATTATTCCGAATTTTGAATGCATTTTAAGAATACTTTTCCCATCAACTGGTCAAAATGCACAACACCGCTGTATGCTGCGTGAAAGACGCGTGCGCACTCTGATGTAAACAAGTGCAGATGAGAAGCGCATGGCGGAACACGTGAGAGACGCTCTGGTTGAAAGCTCACTTTCACTCTCTGACAGCAGATGGCGCTAAACTGCAGAAATTATAATAATAATAATTCATTTAAATGCAGCCGTTACCCCGTAAACCCTGTAAACAAAGCAGCTGCACTACTTTCTGTTTCTGAATCGTGTTTAAATGTATTATGACAGCACTTTTTTAAAAACTAAATTTCAATATCACGATAATACCGTATACCGTGATAAAAGCATTAGCAATTAATCGCAACATGAACATTTGATACCGGCATATCCCTACTTGAGTGTTAAATTGAGGTTTGCTCAATTCACTAACCACATCTAAGAAATGCTAAATAGTAGGGGTGTAACGATTCACTTCTTTTCTTGATGCAATGATTACGAATCCTGCTGATGCAAATGCATAAATCTTGAAAATTTGATTTTTGAATCATGAGTCATTTGCTTCGGTCAAGATAATTCACTCACCCTCGGGCCATCGGGCCAAACACAATGTGGATGAGTTTGTTTCTTCATCAGAACAGAGTTGTGGAGAAATGTAGCATTGCATCACTTGCTCAGCAATGGATGCTCTGCAGTGAATGGGTGCCGACAGAATGAGAGTCCAAACAGCTGATAAAAACATCACAATAATCCACAAGTAATCCACACCACTCCAGTCCATCAGTTAATGCCTTGAGAAGTGAAAAGCTGCATGTTTATAAGCAACAAATCAATTGAGACATTTTTTTTTAAACTTCAAACTGCTTTTAGAGCTAAAATATGAGTCCATAATCCATAATAACGCTTCCTCAAGTGAAAAAGTCCTTCTCCTGTTTTGGCTTGAAAACGGTGCTTGATCTGTGCAGGTTTCTCTCCTGATTCAGACAAGACCATCTCTTCACTGGAGGAAGCGTTATCATGGATTATGGACTCGTATTTTAGGCAGACGCAACAGTTTGAAGATCAAAAATGTCTTGATGATGGATTTGATTCTTATAAATATAGCTTTTCTCTTCTCAAGACATTAATTGATGGACTGGAGTGGTGTGGATTACTTGTGGATTATTGTGATGTTTTTATCAGCTGTTTGGACTCTCATTCTGACGGCACCCATTCACTGCAGAAGATCCATTGCTGAGCAAGTGACGTGATGCTACATTAAACATTAGGAGAAGCATTTCAATAATCCTTTGAATGCATTTAGAAAATGAGAATCAGATCATTAATAGACATCAAATCGAATCTTGTTGTGAATCAGATTTAATAGAATCGTTCTGAAAACCTGTGAATTGAATCGACCCAAAGATTCACACCAACTACGGCTCTTCTGAAAGCAGTTCTTTCACTCACTTCTCTGTGTGTGTGTGTGTGTGTGTGTGTGTGTGTGTGTGTGTGTGTTTAGGGTCGAACTACGCCATGTCTAATGGAGGGGGCGGAGCTGGGGCCAGTATCTCCACCCACCTGCTGGACCTGCTGGAGGAGCCCATTCCAGGCGTGGGAACCTACGACGACTTCCACACCATCGACTGGGTCAGAGAGAAGTGCAAAGACCGAGAGCGACACCGCAAGGTAATGCACCAGCTGTTATCGTTGCCTTTCTTTGGCTATGACAGAAACATTCAGTAGTTTTATGTCACACTAATACTATATACAGTAGTCAACATTTGAAGTGGATCAAAAAAATCCATCAAAGTTGTCCTAAAACCTAAAACCAATGTGTTCTTGTGTTAGGACAGCTTTGATGAATTTTTTTGATCCACTTCAAATGTTGACTACTGTATACCACAATATAGGTCATTTTTTAAATATTCTAATGAATTAAAAACTTCACAAAGGAACCCTATCACAATATAGGTAATTATGTTTTAATAATGTAATTAAAAACTAAGTAACCCAATTTCTTTCATTCATTAATTTATTATTGAACACAGTCTCGTTTATTTTATTCATTAATTTTAATTTTGGAAAACTTGAACTACATCTCTGTTGGTTTGGTTGTTTGTTTATTTATTTATGCATTCATTCATAGAAACTTGAAGTCAATCTTAATTTTTTTTTTTTACTTTATCTGTTTTGTATATATGCTTTATTATTAATATTATATTATCATTTCTGTTTCGTTATTTATTAAATTAAACAATTTTTTTTTTTTTTTTTTTTTTTTGATTAATCCTAGCGAGTGAATAATAAAAGAAGTGCATTTTATATCATATTTGAAAATCAGTAATACAACAAATACGATCAGTACTATTGCTGTAAACTGTAGTTTTCTCCTTGTTCATCAAAGTTTGGTAATAATTTATTTAATATAATTAATATCTAATTAAAATAATAAACAGTTGTAATTATTTAGTAAATTTAATAATATAATTTATTTTATTCGTTTGTTACGGTGCCGGCGCCACAATAGGCTAATTTTCTAGAGCACATATGTGACCCTGGAGCACAAACCC